ATAAACCCTTGTTGGCCGGCCGGCCATTTGCAAATGCATCTGCTAAAGCATTAGCAGATAATTTCCGCGATATCGGCGCGTGGTGATTACATTAGTAATTTCTCTAAAATATTGTATGGGAGCTATGTATAAAACTTATGTCATTTGAATCGTTATATTATTTGCTATTATTCTGTACTTATCTTAGTTGAATACAACCTAATAGATTTTATTAAGCCAATTTCAAAGTTAGAAAACTGAATTTTTAGTATTTTGTACATAATTTGTGAAAATTAAACAGAAAAATCATTCATTTATAAAATAAATCTAATTTATTTTCATCAATATAGACTAATTTATAATAAAAAAGCAAAAAAAACCACACATTCCTATATATTTTTTACCCCAAAAGTTTTTTACAATTTTAACACATGAAGGGCAACCCAAGCGTCGCACAAAAAATTAGGGATGAGCCGAACATGGATTTCACCGAACCGAATATTCGGCCGAACATTATTCGGCAGGATCACCTCGGTACCTAACAAATTTCTGTCGAAACTTGTTACCATAAAGCGCTCGGGATTAGCGCCGGGCCCTGCCACTCACTCCCCCGCCAAACCTGACATGCCTTTGTATCATCATCTTGTACTAAGCAAATGGCCGGTGCACATGCTTATGCTTTGACTAGTTTTGGGCGAAAAAAAATTCGGTGTTATTCTTAGTGAAAATTGATAATTATATGATAAAATGAGTAGCAGGACATCTACTATTTGGATTTATTTCAGAGAAACTGAGGACCAATGTAAAGTGAAATTTACTCATGTAATGTAATGTTTCTTTGTTTGATTCCAAAAACATTTTATCAAACTTTCTATTTGCTATAATTTGAAATAAATCTAAATATATAATGTATCTAAAAATGATACAAGTTGATCTAACCCATAAATAAAATATACTTTCAACAGTAAAATTATGAAAGACATGACATTACTCAATTCATACATTTCAATACAGTGGACACTGAGTATACTACTTTACCGAATGTTCAGTGATTTAGCCGAATATTCGGCCATATTCGATATTCGGCAGCTCTACCGAATATCGAATATGAAACGAATATTCGGCCCATCTCTACAAAAAATAGCATTTATTGTTACTTTTATTTTGAGAAAGGAGCGAGTCAAGTGGCGTGCGATAATTTTAACGTTAAGTATGGCTCAAGTTCTTAATTTAGAAAGTTTCATTTCTAAAAAGTATGAGGTAAATGTAAGTTAAGTAGGTATAACGGCCGTTTATGTTCGAATTTTTCTTTTTTAATAATAAAAAGGATACATATCCCTAAATTATGAATTAAAAACTGTTGGTTATTAACCCTTACATGTTAAAATAGCACCAAACTTCACTATTTGTTTGATTTAAGAATAAAAAAAAGGAAATAAACCGGGACGGGCGAACACATAAAAGCGACATTCACGTACGACTGTCACACAGGCTGTTTCTTCGAAATTTCTAAACATTGTAGTACTTTAGTAGCTTTGTATCGCGTCCTCTTTCTTTAGTCTATCATTTTATATAAGTAAAAATGTGATAGCAATCATTGTCGCCGGTTATTGTTAGCCTAGCGGTTGAAAAAAAAAAAAAAAAAAAAAAAAAAAAAAAAATTTTTTTTTTATCTTCTATATTATTCCTCATAAAATATTAATAAATTTGTGATTTTGGTTATTTTGGATATTATTATCATTGAATAATGCTAGGTATTATACTCTCTTCAGGAGTATGTATATTTTTAATTTAAGTATAAGATATATTATATTAAGGATGCAATTTATATAAGGAACTCGATAATAAATGATTTGTAAGTTTGATTTTGAATGCAATATAAGTCGTTAAATATGTCAATGCCGGGTATGGTTATAGAAAATTCGTTATATGTCTTACATATATGCACAATAGGAGCGTGTCCCGAGATGAGTTTTCGCGAAAGGAATATAAAATGTTTTTTGGATGTGACAACGGGAATATTTACATGGAACAGCAAATGAAATGCAGTCAAGGAGGTCACTGCACTTAACTTTATGTGTACTATTTTATGTAGAAAACACAAATCTAAAATATCTCGTCTATTTCGAAGAGACATCATTTTAAACGTATCCAGTCGCTGATAATAAGGCTGCCTATGTGAGATACCACTGGCATGAAAGGTAAGATGTCGAGTAAAGGCGCGCTGTATACTTTCAACGCGTTGGGAGTGCACACTAGAAGATGGATTCCATATGACACTAGCGAATTCAAGGAGACTTCTTACAAAAGCATTATAGAAAAGAATTTTAGTCCCAGATGAAAATCCCTTTGTGTTGCGCTTAATAAATCCTAAGAACTTCACGGCTTTATTAACAATATTGTTTATATGAGATTTAAAGGTTAGCTTTCTGTCAATAGTTACTCCTGTCTTTAATCTCTGGTATCTCTTGCAAAACTACATTACTAATTGAGTAACTAGAGACAAGCGGTTTTATTTTCCTGGTGTATTTTACATGGAAGCATTTGTTAGCATTAAGAGTCATACTATTGACGTCACACCAATGGAATATTCTATTCAGATCTTGTAGCGGCGCTGCCGTCGCCGCCACAAGCGAAAACACACCGAAGCCTAAATCGCGCTATCAACATTCCGAATCATAAACAGTATATATAGAACATCTCCGAATTATCACACGGAGTGTCGGCCGCTCCCCGGGCAGAACACCTTGCCCGGCGGGAGATCTCCCCTTTTCCTTCCTCATCGGCCACAGTGGTGACCCCGACGTGATCTGAACACGCAACCAACAACTTTCGGAAACTTCAAGCTTCATCATTGTCATTGAATACCCCACCGTATCGCTCCCGAGCAGATATCGTCTGCAGTCTTCATATCCTGCAAGCCATCTAGCTTCACAAGGTTCATCGCAGCATTGGAATAATAATGCTTCCTGTTCCTTCAAGCTACTCTCTGCGCTATACAGTGTTCGGCACGGCTCTGAGCCTTACTGCTCGCCTCTGCTTCACGGCACTCTCGCAGATTACTTGCCTTCTTCTCGACTCACCGCAGACTACAAGGCAATCCACTGGCACTTGCACATTCGTCGGCAACAAGGCTGCACTAACGACCTCCGGTCTGAGCAGGGGGTGATGTAGCGGCGCTGCCGTCGCCGCCACAAGCGAAAACACACCGAAGCCTAAATCGCGCTATCAACATTCCGAATCATAAACAGTATATATAGAACATCTCCGAATTATCACACGGAGTGTTGGCCGCTCCCTGGGCAGAACACCTTGCCCGGCGGGAGATCTCCCCCTTTTCCTACTTCGGCCACATGTGTTTGAAATCCCGCATTGAAATATCTTCACAGTACCAAAAAAAGATGCCTGTGAAAACCAGAGCTACTAATTTTAATATCCATTTATAGGTCGATTTTTATTTCTCGTTTAAATAACTTGGGATATTAATGTAACACACTCGATTATTTCAATAGTCACAACTTTTATTTGGATTTACAAAAATTTGCCAAGTTTTGATCACGTCTAAATTATCAGTCTTGAATAGGAGCTTCTTTAGGGTGTACTTTAACATATTGGGTAAGGTTTACAATTCGGTCGCCTAAATTTGGGGGTGGGGGGTGGCGTGGGGGGGAGGAGTTGTAGAGTCACCCCCTACTTCCACTTTCTGCCGGACGTGCTTAGTTTTCTTTTTATTAATTTTTAAAAATCACATTTTGAGGTTATGTTTCGTAATTTTGATGAAAATTTTAACCTGATTTATGGGGAGAGAGGATGATGGGGTCTATTCGCTCGCTTCGCTCGCTCACAAGACTCCGTCATCCTCTTCTAACATAACCTGTCCGAGTCGGGGTGCTTCACGTCCCAGGCTTGCTTCGCTCGCTATTGAACTAGATATAACACTAAATTATTAACTTTCATAACTACTTTTATTTATAAACATAATTTATGGCTGCCAGCATTTGTAAGAAAAGATCTTTGCGATATTTAGCAGTATTCCGCCGCCACAAATATTTCACTATTCACCAAAATTCTGAAACTCGGAAGCAACGCCATGAGGAAAAGCTGTCAACAAAATGGCCAACATAGCCATAGCGATTTAATTTTACATATTTTTAAATCGATTCAAATCGAAATTGGATGAATCAATTCACAAAAAATCGAAATCTTAAAGATCGATTTCGCAAAAATCAATCTTTTTTTGATTTGCGTTAAAAGTTTATATTTACGATATCAAAAGTACAATAAAGTACAGTTAACATTGAATAATTAAATTAAAAACTGTCATTCTTTACGAGTTGGGGTACATTCAATTAATTGTAAATAATTTTACAAATCTTAATAAAACAGAAAAAGATTCGATCTCGATTCTCTAGGGTGAAATATCGATTCACTAGATCGATTCAGTACTATATATCGATATGACATTGACAGATGAAACGTCAAAAACGTAATTAAATTAGTCATTTACCAATATTTTTAAAAAATAATGAAAAATACTACGACGCAGCTCCGGCAGAAAAAATCGAGTGGGGATGCTTCAGATAAAGCCCCTTGACTTCCCTACAGTGACAGAATCTTCAAATTCAGGTGACCGAATTGTAAACCCAACCCAACATATCTTCGGAATATCTGATGCACTCGGATAATTTTTTTTAAATCCCATTTTCAACATCTACGCACGAACACCACCACCATTCAATCTGTCATATTAATATTCCTCCATTCTCAAAAATTAGTGGGACATATACACTGTAAATATCTGATGCGCTCTAGTATTTTTTGTATTTCGTGTTTTTACATTTTTAAAAATCTATAGCCGCTCAACCCACCACTGAAAAGGCATACATCATATAATCTTTTTTGTTTTAGCATCTATGCTTCACAATCCAAAAGGTCCCCATGACGATCGAGTGAACTCCCAATTTAGCCTCTCGGGCTCCCCAACAATAAAATTATATGTAATAAAATTTTAAAGTACTAACCTTCAGAAATAGCATTAATATTTTCTAATGCAACGACTGCAGATTTAAATGGTTGGAATGCGATTAAAGTGACCACTGAATTAAACCTTTGCAGGTCTGTTACAGATTCTTCCACTTGAGGGAGGAATGCTGCCAACTCTTCGAACTCTGTGACACGGAACAGCGCAAAGCCCGCGCTGTGCTCATATAAAACATATAGTTTACTCTGCAAGTTACAAATATAATTGAAAAACTTTAATTACACATTCAGATTACACATAAATGATAAATATTCACCATTTCAATACTTTATTTTGAACATATTAAAAAAGCATAGGGATAATAAAACACGTGTGTTTTAGAACCCCAAACTCTGACAATCTGACATAGAGGAAACAGGCAGATTTATTCACAAAATTATAATTTACTTGAGGTTATGCCAAAGAGATTACTATACTTTCATTTGTAGGCAAAGATATCTAAACCCATACAGTCTAGTTGGACATGTTTTAGTCTCTTTCTTTTAATTTAGAGTTTCTCTTGCACACGCTGGAGAGAAGTATGTTCCTTGCACTTGAATTATAATATATTGTACGCGAAATTCCACACGGTATACGCATATTGTTATAGACACCATAATGCTGATATATTTTGATGACAGCTTAGACCCAATGGAGAGTCAATTGCGATATCATCTAAAAGCTCGTTAAACTATTGAGATTTTTATCACCATCTGAATTTTGAACACATGTCATTTCCTGAAAAAAAGTTCACTTCAGCAGATAATTAATACACAAAATTGCACCACTTTTAAAATCCATAAATTGTTAATTAAACGATAGTTGAAAATCAATCCTCCTGTGGTTAAGTTGTCACCAAAACCCTTACGTTAACATTAACACTTACGCTTGTCACCCAGAGGGGTAGGCAGAGACTACAGAGTTCCATTTGGTACGATCCTGACACACTTCTCTCGCCTCCTTCACGTCCGTATACTTACGCTTTCATAGTTAATCCGAGCCACCTTCCGCTTTGGGATTTTAGAGGTAGTATATTTGAGTTTGTATTTAATTTTGTTAATTATGGAATCCCAAGCATACTTGACAGAGGAATAAAATATTTCAAGCACATTTGAAGACTGTGTGGCCTGAGTTTTAATTATTTGAGTACACTAAAAACTGTTATGTACGATATATAATGTACAATAGTGTCTTCTAGGCACGTGTTTCTTAAAACACGTTTTGCCTGGCATAGCATTTTATTTTCATATCATAATGCTGTCTAGACAAAATATCCCATTTTAATAAAAAATAAATATTAACTAAATAAAAACTCGTCACAATATATATTTAATAGATAATGCCACTAAAATATTCGCAATACGTTTTATTTTTGTTAGCAAATAAGTTATTGTGATAACTTTTTGAAGATACTTAATTAATAAAATAAATACCTATTTATATATTTTTAAATGTTATGCTGGTGAAATTAAAAACGGGACACGGAGTATATAACGGCTGCTTTATTCTTAATATTATAAGTACTACTTTTAATAATAACAAACATTTAAGAATTTAATACACTACAGAAATTTATTTTAACATTCTACTTAAATATGAATGTAAACTTAATAATTTAAGTAAGGAAACTGGTAAGTTAAATAAGATTACTCTGTTTAAAGGCCAACATGTTTATGAGTACTTTCTTTTTCATCTGTCCCCGAAAAATATAAAGTAATAATAAACTTATTATCGCTTTATCTATATGGATTTAAAAAAATATATTGATCTTGACAGAGACTAGCTAAATACGCAAGAGATATTAAAGTGGACCAAGTGTCTGAGGATATATATGTATTCTTTATTCTCTCTATCTATGCTTTTAAGTAGGGATGTTAAGGAAACGGTCTCTCATCCATGGACTGACCGCTGCAAGTGCAGCTTAATCTCGCAGATATATTGATCCGTGAAACTACTACTTAATCACGAGCTCCTCTTCTCTACGGCTAATGATGTAGACGCACGCTATTAACATTTCGGTGCACTGTAGTCGGCTATCCAGCATGAATTGGGCATCGAGCGTTATGAGTATCAAATACTATATAGTTTATAGTGTCCTGGCACATTAAACCACGCATTTCGTGTGCGTGCGTCCAAGCTGCGCTTCGGGAACATTACTAAATATCTTTACCTCTAACTACGCTAAGTTTTACCATTGTGACTTGAGTATATAATCCGAACCTCCGCTCAAACCTTTGGGGAAAATAGCGTGATAGTATGAATATTGTACTAGTGTGACCCGTGAGGTGCGGATAATTAAGTAAGGTTATACATTTTTTCAAGCCGTGTAGTGGCGGTTGAGAATATCCACTAACCCATATCTTCCCGTGGGTGTCGTAAGAGGCAACAGAGGGAGACAGGCAGGAGATGGGCAGCAGCATCTTCCTGATAACAACTATGATATAATAAAAAAACTGCGGTTGCCAACCCGCTCGCCAAGCGTGGCAACTTTGGCAAATATCCCCCCATGAATAACGACGCAAACAAACGGCCCCAGTCCCCGGCGGCCCCGCTATTCCTGGTTACGGTGGCGACCATGGTAACGGTGGGGCAGGGGGTGCTAAGAATCTCCGGTGGAGGTTAGATTGCCACCTACGACGACTCGACCTGGCAACATATAACGCACGCACCATGAGGACTGATGAGAAGATACTGGAGCTGGAAAAAGAGGTAGACAAGTTGCGCTGGCATATTATTGGATTATCCGAGGTCCGAAGAGAGGGGGAGGACACGGTAATCCTCGAGTCCGGCAACTTGTTCTATCACCGGGAGGGCGACCATCTGTCCCAAGAAGGTGTCAGATTTATCGTCCACAAGTCTCGCGTCAACAACGTTCTAAAGATTGGGAGTGTGTCGACGAGGGTCACGTACCTGATACTCAGAATAACCAAACGGTATTCGCTGAAGGTCATACAGGCTTACGCACCAACCTCGGCACATCCCGATGAAGAGGTGGAGGAAATGTATGAGGATATTTCCAGAGCCGTGCATTCTTCCAAAACCCACTACACGGTGTTGATGGGAGACTTCAACGCAAAACTAGGCACAAGAGAAAGCGGTGAGCTGAAGGTAGGGAAATTTGGAGTAGGGCAACGGAACCGAAGGGGCCAGCAGCTGGAGAATGTGTTTTTTTGGAGAAAGAGGACTCTTTATGATGAACTCTTTCTTTCAGAAGCGGCCCCACAGGAAGTGGCCTGGTCGAGCCCCGACGGTTCGACAAAAATTGAGATTGACTTCATTATGACGACCAGACGCCAACTGTTCAGTGATGTCTCAGTGATCGCAAGGCTGAAAACTGGCAGCGATCACCAAGTGGTTAGAGGCACACTGAACCTAAACGTTAAGTTGGAGAGGTCTCGTCTAATGAAGTCAACGCTCCGTCCCCCTCGTGCTCTAATCCAGAATCCCGAAACCTTTCAGCTCGAGTTACGTAACCGCTTTCAGTGCCTAGAAGATTGCAACGCAGTGGACGATATGAATGACAAGCTCGTGGAAACTGTCCATGCGGTCGGAGCTAAGTTCTGCAAGACCCGCCGCAGAAAAACACTAAAAACTCTCCGATCACACTCTTAATCTCATGGCTGTTAGACGGGAGATGAGGCTGCAATCGTCAACAGATTTGACAGCATACAGGCAACTGAACAGACAGATATCCAAATGCATGCGGCGAGACTTACGCAACTTTAATACAGCTCGTATTAAAGAAGCGATCGAGCGGAACCAGGGCTCCAAAGTCTTTGCCAGAGATCTGTCTGCCAGAAAGAGCCACTGTTAAAGCTGAAGACTCAGTGTGGCAATATCGTTTCCGGGACACCTGAGATTTTGAGTGAGATTGAGAGGTTCTATGGGCAGCTGTACACATCATCATCGGAGCCACACGCAAGTGTGAGTAGCGATCCAAGAGCATGTCTTATCCGACACTATTCCAATGATATCCCGGACGTCAGTCTGAGCGAGATTAGAATGGCTCTCCAGCATCTTAAAAACGGCAAGGCTCCGGGCGAGGATGGAATTACAGCGGAGCTTCTGAAAGCGGGTGGAACACCGGTACTTGAAGTCCTTCAGAAGCTCTTCAATTCCGTCCTCCATGGTGGCACTACTCCGGAGGCGTGGAGCAGAAGCGCGGTGGTCTTGTTCTTTAAGAAAGGCGACAACGCTCTCTTGAAGAACTACAGACCGATTTCCCTTCTGAGCCGCGTCTACGTGCTGTTTTCGAGAGTCATTACGAATCGTCTCGCACGCAGACTCGACGACTTCCAGCCTCCCGAACAAGCCGGTTTCCGAAAAGGCTTCAGTACCATAGACCACATACATACCCTGCGGCAGATTGTACAGAAGACCGAAGAGTACAATCTGTCACTTTGCCTGGCATATGTGGACTATGAGAAAGCCTTTGATTCCGTCGAAATTTGGGCGGTGCTACAGTATATCGAAGTGCTGAAGTGTTTGTACAGTAGGGCTACGATGGCTATCCGAGTACAGAACCAGAGTTCGAAACCTATCCAACTGCAGATAGGTGTAAGACAGGGTGATGTTATATCCCCGAAACTCTTCACCGCTGCGTTGGAAGACGTTTTCAAGCTACTGGACTGGAAAGGATACGGTATTAACATCAATGGCGAGTACATCACTCACCTTCGATTTGCCGACGATATAGTCCTTATGGCAGAATCACTGGAGGACCTTAGCACTATGCTCAATGACCTCAATGGTGTCTCCCAACGGATAGGTCTTAAGATGAACATGGACAAAACAAAGATCATGTTTAATATCCATGTCACACCTATGCCGGTAGTTGTTGGGAGCACTATGCTCGAAGTTGTTGACGAGTACGTTTACCTGGGACAAATAGTCCGACTAGGTAAGTCCAACTTCGATCGAGAGGTCAATCGACGGATTCAACTCGGCTGGGCAGCGTTCGGGAAATTACGACACATCTTCTCGTCAGGTATACCTCAATCTCTGAAAACTAAAGTGTATAACCAGTGCGTGTTGCCAGTGATGACTTACGGATCTTAGACGTGGTCCTTCACTGCTGGCCGTATGAGGACGCTCAAGGTCGCTCAGCGAGCTATGGAGAGGGCTATGCTCGGAGTTTATCTGCGTGATAGACTCAGAAATGAGGATATCCGCAGTAAAACCAGAGTGACCGACATAGCCCAACTGATTAGTAAGCTGAAGTGGCAATGGGCCGGCCATATAGCTCGAAGCACCGATAACCGATGGGAAAGGAAGATTCTC